TTGCTGCCCGGGGAACGGATGGTCAGGGCAGAGGGCACCAAGCCCTCTGGCTGCCCGGCGCCCTTGCTCACCCCCCTCCCCGCCTGCCCAGGAGGCTGCGGAGGAGGTGACCCGGCACGTCCACTCCCTGTCGGGCAAGAAGGACGGGCTGGTGCCCATGTTCATCAACACGCACAGCGGCCTCTTCACCCACGGGGGCGTGTTCACCCTGGGCGCCAGGGCCGACAGCTACTACGAGTACCTGCTGAAGCAGTGGATCCAGGGCCGGCGGCAGGACGCGCGGTGAGGCCGCTCCGCCGTCCCAGCCCCCGGGCGCCCGTGGGACGCAGTTCCTTTCAGCACAGCACGTGCCAGGGCAGGGCCTGGCCGCCTGAGCCGGTGCCGAGCGGGGGTCTGGGTCAGGCTGCGGGCCCAGCTCCCTCCCCGAGGAGGAGCGGGTGCAGCCCCGCGAGTCCCCTCTGGGGAGAGGGCGCCAGGACACCTGGGCTCCCTCCGCGGGTTCCCTACTGTGCAGCAGCCCTCAGGGTGTGGGGAACCCAGGCACCCCAGGGAGAGGGGAGGAGGGAGCCGCCCTCCAGGGCTCAGGCCGGTGGGAAGGGACCACCCTGTTTGGGAAGCGGAAGGCACTGCCCTGCCCCACGCTGACCCACCCCAGGCCCCACCCCCAGGCCGGCCTCAGCCCTTAGGGGTGAGCACCCCAGGGTCTGCCCCTGGAGGGGCCGTGCGCCCACCGGACTGAGGCCGGGCCTGCTCCCAGGTTGCGGGACGACTACCTAGAGGCCGTGGAGGGGATCAGTGAAAAAGGTACCCACATAACATCTGGCTGAGAAAAGCAGCAGGATTATTGACTGCCAGGGAAAAGAAATCTGGAAATACAGGTGCCCTCTTAAACGGCCAACACAAAAGGCCCGGGCTCCCGCCTCGGCGTCTGGGCCCCGAGTTAGGGCCAGGACTGAGCAGGGAGGTGGTGGCCCAGGAGTGTGAGGGCCACAGGCAGACTGGCTGCCCGGCCTGGGCTGTGCCCACAAGGGGGGGAGGGGTGACCTGAGAGGGCCACAGGGACCTGTCCCCCAGCAGCTGGGATCACTGTGGCTGGGGGCCAGGGAGAGGCCAGGTCAGGCTGCTGGGCCGCGGGGGTGGAGGCCGCGG